TAGAACCTATATCAGATTGCATGCTGTCCTTCGGAGGGAGCAGGAAGGAGGAGGAGAAAATTTTAAATTCAAATTCTTATGGAAGTGGATATTGAAAACTAAAAATAAATTAATAATAATTAATAATAAAAGAAAAAAAAAGCAAAAAAAATCCTCATTCAACAACACCTTCTACAGGAAGCTTCCCCTAATCCTCCTTAATTATACTTCCTCCCCTCAGTTGATTATTTCCAATTTATCTTGCATGTGTGTGTGTGCTTGCTCGAGTACACACACAACACACACACACACACACACACACACACACACACACACACACCCCTACCTTATTTGTATATAGTTGTTTGCATGTTGACTTCCCCCTTAGACCATCAACTCCTTGAGAACAGGGACTGTCTTTTGCTTTCCTTTATATCCCCAGTGCTTAGTACAATCCTGGCACATAATAGATAAAATATTTATTAACTGACTGACCTTTGGATTCCCCAGTAGAATTAGAAGTTCCTTGAGGGCAGGAACTGTTTCACCTTGGATCCCTAATAACTAGCTCCATACCTGATACTTAGCAGAGGTTTAAAGTTTCCTGATTGATCCCTCTCAGCTGTTAGTTCCCTCAAGCAAGAAACTCCCCCACACCCCTTCCCCCAAGTGATTTTGTACTTAGTCAATCAGATTTATTAAGTGTATGTAGAAGGCACTGTGCTAAGTGCTGAGGATACAAAGAAAGACAAAAGCAGTCCCTGCCTTCAAGAAGCCGACATTCTAAAGGAGACAACATACGAACAACTACGTCCATATAAGATATATACAGGGTAAGTGGGAGGTAATCTCAGAAGGAAGGCATTAGCAATGGGGGGGGGGGAGACACAACTCTAGCAGAAAGTGGGATGAGTTTAGTCTTTGTCAAACTATGAAAATAAATGACCAATGAGTCACAGAGATTACTCAACCAACCTCTGTTAACTTTGAAAAATACCAAAGAGGTCCCAAAGGTAATACCCCAACTGCTAATTCTGAAAAATAAAATTTTTTAAAAAGAGCTAACAGTGGTTATAGGCAAGAAGTTTTCTTTATTCCATTGTGTGGGGGATGCCACTCAAATTAAAAAAACACGCTTAGAGGTTTTTCAAGGAGAAACAGAAAGTTAATTTATTTACTATTCTCAAAAATAGGGTGTCCCTCCACCAGAATGATCTGATTAGGGGAGACAGAGTACAGGAGCTAAGAACCAGATTAAATAGCCCTAATGGGCAAATCCCCCCTCCCACCAACTGGCCAATGTTTTGGCTCACAATCTAAGGAAACAGAAAATGAAACAAAGAGAAACTATATACATATCTGTATTTAGCTCCTTAGTTTACTGAAGTGTTGCTGAAGATACAATTAAAAATGTGCAGTCAAGCTAGACACTGTGTTGTTGTGGCAAGGTTACCACCTTAACCAGAATATAGCAACAGGTGTGACATGATACAGAGGGGGGGCGGGGTTTCAAACTTTAGCTACTGAGATATGTTGTACCGTATAGCCAGGTCACCATGACCAGAATATAGCAACAGGCACAACAAGATGTGGGGAGGCTCGAGCTTCAGGAGTTTCAGGCTTGGCAAACTTTAACTACTGATATAACAATGGCATGGGGGAGGGGGTACTTGGGGCTGGACTCCGGTAACTCAGGTGATTTCTAGTAAACCAAAACCTAGGCCTGTCAGGCTGCTATGCCTGCCTTGAGTCTAATACAATTTCTATTTATTCTTCTGAGAAGTCTTCATCCCACTCAGCCTTATTCCAAACCTTAATTATACTGAGGAGTCTTCACTGGGACGTCCCACTCAATTGGAAGATGGAACTAGATACACGTGCTGGGGTCTCTTCTAAGAGGAGACCCATTGCAGAGAGGCTGAGCCTTGATACATACAGTTGTGGCTAGACAAAGAACCAACACAGAGGTGTAGCAACAGTGGTGAGGCACAATAGCAACAGTGAGGCAAGGTTGCCTAGTGACAAAAAGTCTATTCATAGCAGGCCTGCGCTGGTGCTTGCCCGAGCTCAGATACAGTCAGTTCTGTGATTTAGTTGCGGCAGAGTTCATCCAAGGGGTCAGCACAAAGGATTGTTGTTATGCCAAGCTCAAGGCACACCTTTCTTGTTGGGCCTTAGATCTGGGAAACAAGATGTCTCCTAATAGTAAAAAGAGAGGAGTGAAAAGAAAGGGGTGGTCTTGGCATGGGGATCCTGACATCTTGAAGGAAACCAGAAGGTGGAATTTAGGAGGAAGAGCATCCCATAGTCAGTGAAAAAGCACTGAGTGGGGTGGCCAGTGTTGTGGGCCACTAAACAGTAAATGAGAATCCAAGCTACAATCTACTTTTTGTCCAGCTCAGTTTGTATTTAATGATTTCTTGAAATATAGCTCTGAAAAAATAGGCTTTAAACAAGCCCATTGTGTTTCAAATGGAGCTACCCTTTAAACTTAAATCACTCTGGATTTCATTGAATGGCCAATAATAGCCCCCAACCCAAGCTTTTGAGATTCATTGTTTAGGGTGATGGCTTAGAATGACTATAAATAGCATGTAAATGTTCTAGGGTCTTTCCTTGCAAAACTGATAGTTTTGTGATGGTGTATTGGGCTATCTTTTGTCTCAATTCTTACTTAGCCCTTCATCATTGAATGGGCATTGCCTCAGACAAACTGGACCTGGAAAAGACCTTAATTTAGAAAGGCCAAAGTCACCCACTGCATCCTGGGCCATCACCAGTTGTCTTGACTTTTGTCTCCCACTGGATGATTCCTTCGGAGACCCGAGACTGAAGACTTTGCAAAGCTTTGCCTCACTTAAATCCAATTCGCCAACAAGATATCATCCTTGTGACATCATCGGTCCTCTTCTACGACAAAGAATAAGAAACCCGTGCTTGTGATACCTCTGTTGCAAAATACATGGGGAAGAATATAATGTAAGAAGCCTGAAAAGATAAGAAGGGTCCAGGTTACAAAGTGCTTTAAAAACCAGACAGAGGATTTTATATTTGTTCCTACAGATGCTAGGGACCCACTGAAGTTTATGATCGGGGGATGATATGGTTAGACGTGAGCTTTAGGAAGACCAATTTGACAGCTGAGTGGAAAAAATAGACTGAAGTGGAGAGAGATTTGAGGCCGGGAGCCCAACCAGCAGGCTATTGAAAATGTACAAATATAAAGTGACACAGGCTGCATCGAGGTGGTGACTGTGTCAGAAGAGAGGAGGGATATACAAGAAATATCAAGGAGAAAGCAATAGTTTGGATATTGGGGAGGCAGGAAGATGGAGGAGTCAAGAATGATGTCTTAATTTCAATCCTGGTTGATTGGAAGTACAGTGGTCTCCTCTACCCTAACAGGGAAGTTGGGAAGAAGAAAGGGTTTGAGGAATAAGATAATAATTTCAGGTCTAAACATGTTAAGTTTAAGATATATCTATTAGAAATCCAGTTCCAGACGACCAATAGGCAATACTTACCTTATGTCTTGTGTGTATGTATGAGTGTGTATAAATATATACAGTCATATATATGTACATATATATATGTGGATATATGTGTGTGTGTGTTTATAGATAAGGTAGTTTCTCCTTTTGGAATATAAGCTGCTTGGGGGAAGGAAATGTTTTATTTTTGTCAGTGATTAATAGCTGTGGGGTAGTTAACCACGTTCATAAATTCTCTTTGTAGCAGGAAAGCCATAAGGAAGCCCCTGAGTTCGAATTCGCCTCAGACTTTTAATAGTTGTGTGACCCCGTGCAAGTCACTTAACCTCTCCTCCTGTTCTTCATCTGTGATAATTAGGATAATGGTATATCTCCCTCCCAGGGTTGTTGTGAAGATCAAATGAGTTAAATATAATGTCCTTAAGGTGCTAAATAAACGCTGCTTCGCAGCTCAAAATGGGCTCTCCCCAGAGAATATAACATGAGAAAGCGAGGAAGTGAGGCTGCACCAAGAAGACGTAACCTGCCCGCATGCGCACTCCCCTTCCCCACCTCCCTCCCGACCCCTCCACCCTCGCCCTCCGACGGACTTGCTGACGTCAGCCACCCTGACGGTGGGGGCGGGGTGACGGCGTGACGTCACCCGGAGCCTGGACAGCGCCTGTCACAGCCAGCCGGCCGGGCCGGGGAGTCCGCGGGGCGGCCGCGCTCCATCTCTGGGGCAGCGGGCGCGGGGCCGGCCCGCCAAGCATCCATTCCAGCCCGCCCCGGCCCGGCCCGGCCCTCCCCGGCCCGGCTCTCCCCTTGGCCAGGGTTGCCGGTGGACCCGGAGCGACGGCGCAGCCGGCGACGGTTAGTAACGGCCGTTGGGGACCGTTGACGCGGGGGCGCGGGACCCTGGAGCCTCAGCGCCACGGGGGTCTTCGGGGGTCCCCTTCTCCTCCCCCTCCCCAGCGTTTCCCTGCCGGCAGCCGGGGTCAGCAGATCCCGGGAAACCCAGCTCCCTCCGAGGCAGAACCACAGAACGTCAGCCCCTTCGTCTTACCGTTGGGGAAACTGAGGCCCTGGGGCGAGGAAAGGACTTGCCCAAGGGCACACAGGCAATCTCCGAGACGAGATTCTCGTTCTGGGCTCTGAAGTGGTTACGATTTCAGTCTGAGAGAAAGGGCTCCCTTCTCCCCGATCCTCCCCGATCCTCCCCCCACCCCCGGCTCCTCCTCCCTTCCCCCAGCGGCTCACCTCCGGCCCTGCTCCGCGTCCCCACCCCCACCCCCGCCGTCGCTGTGCCCGCCCGGCCTAACTCCGCTGTGTGTCCTCTGCCAGCTTTGTGCCCAGCCTGGAAGCGTGCCCCCGGGCCGGTCCCTGGATGGAAAGGCCGAGCTCCCCGAGCTGGGTAGCGAGCGAGCCGCGGCGGCGGCGCCTGCTTCCTTCGAGGCGAAGGAAGAAGTGAATGGCCCCCAGGGACGGGCTCCGCACTCGGTTCTCTGGCACCAGTTGGGTTTTTTTGTGTTTTGTCGTTTTAATTTCCCCTGAAGATTTCCTGGCCGAGCATGCAGGACCAGCGCCCCGAGACAAGAGCTCCCCGAGGACAGCAGATGGCCCGTGGGGCCTCGCTCGGTGACCTGGTGGAGGCGGCTTTGGAAAGGGCCTCGGTCAGCGAGCCCCCCAAAGGGAACGGGGGGGCTCACGGACCCGGGAGCGGGGGCTGGGACGAGGAGGCGGCGAAACTAGCCCCCTGTGCCCTGCCCCGGCCGGAGGGCAAAACCCGAAGCGCGGCGGCCTCGGCCGCTGCGGGGGAGCCCGGCCCCTCGGACGGCAGCCCCTGGGCTTCCGCAGAGCCCAACAACTCCTGGGGGGAATTCGAAGGCTTCAGCGAGGCTGCGGACAAGTCGGACACTTTCAGCAGCCTGGACGTTCTGGAGCGCTGGGCAGCGCCGGGGGCACGGGGCAGCGATGCGGACCTGACGGGATGTGTCCCAAGCCCTTGTGGCTGTCTGCAGTCGGATAGCTCACCCGGTGCGAGGGAAACCGCGGCTGCTTCCCCTGTTCAGGTATTTGGCTTCGAACTTTGTTCACTGTTATGAACCCAGGTGTTGCGGTTTGCCTCGCAAGTGACGACTGGAGGTACTCAAGCAGCGGTTGGGTGACTCCTGTCTGGGATGCAGCCGAGGAGATTACTGTTAAAATCACTTAATGCTCTGAGCTTTTGCGATGTATCCTTAATCTACCGGCTTCTGCCGGCTAGATGGTTATTGAACGTCTACAATTCTCTCTTTTCTTTGACAACAGCTTTGAAAATCTCTGTGGAAAAAAGGCACCGAGATTAGAAATTTTCAGTATTCCTCCTGATGGCCAAAGTAGGGCTGACCTTTAGGAGTGGAGACAACAATGATGAATTATCAAAAAAAAAAAAGTCAAAGTATGTTCGTGCTTGAACTGCTCAACTTTCTGATGTCCAGCTTAAGTGGTATTTCTTTACCTTTGTCCTGTGGAGGCTTTTTTCCTCTTTACCTTTTTTATTCCGAAGTTAAGTTTCTCCAACCCTTCTGCCACTTAATCCTTCCTTCTTTTCCCTACTCTTTCTTCGTCTTCATTGCACCTGGTCTTTGCTTTCTCTACTCTCTCCACTGACTTTAATTTCTCCTTTCTTCTCTTTCTCCTCTCTTCCAATCATGCTTTCACTTTCTAATGAAAGAAAGTGGGGAAGTGTAAGATATAATACTTTTAAGTGAGAAAGGAAACCCATTCTGTTCTCTCCACAGTCTAAACTGGAGAGTTCTATTCAGTGAACTGGGTTCATTGGAGCTTGTTAATAAAATACTAATAACTCGGATTTTGATACTTAAAATACTTAATAATTTTGTGTCTACAAAACCAAAATTTTACAATTTAGAATGGCTGGTAGCAGAAATAATGTGTATATCTCACTAGCATAGTTTTTCCTAAAAAGACTGTAGTTTGACTTTTGATTTTTTTTTCCAGGCCAATCTCAGCTATGAGAATATTTTTAAGCTTGTCTTTCAAGAAGTACCAGTACAACAAATGACTGAGGATATTTGCACCTTACACCATTTTCTAGAAAAACATAATGAAGAAAATACTAGCTGCAAATCTGTAAAGAAGCAATTTTGGTAATTAATTTAAAATTAGACATTTAATTAACTTATTCAATGTATTTTTTTGCAAGAAAAGTAGAAAAATGAAATTTATAAAAAAGTTGAAATTTATTTTGGAGCTTTCTCTATTCCTTATTCAGTTCAGAGAAGCAGATGATTATTTCCCTCCATTTAAGTACAGTTGGTACTAGGGATAGAATAGAACGTTTGAATCTATAAGTCGTTTCAGTTCTAAGAAATTTATTAAGCAAGAATTACTGATATGATCCCCACAGCTCCTTCTATTTAATAGTCTCTAGTGTACAGGCCAGTTATCCAGGGTTAACAGGGAACAAGAATTAATCTGCGTTTTATTTCTTCTTTTATTCCCCTGTTATTTGCTCATATTAGAAATTCTGGGGAACAATGCAAAATACCCAAAACAATAGGGAAAAGGAAGCCCCAAAGTCTTAGTTAAACCACAAGTTGTCTAGTTACAAGACCTTACTTATGCAGAGTAGATATTTGATAAATATTGTTGTTGATTTTATTTTTATTGGTACCTAAATAATAGCATACTGACTGTGCAGTATATGGCATAAAATAGAGCCATCTTATCTGTAGGCAGAACTCCTGGAAGGGAGCTAAAAATGCTTATTGGCTTACCAGAATGCCTTTTATCACCTTGTTTGCCTTTGGAGAGTTTATTTGCATCTAAGCTCCTGATACTGCTTCTGATACATAAAGTCCTATTAATGCTAAGTCACATTGGTGAACTCTTTAAGATTGTAGCTTATTCCTATGCATGTTACCATTTGGTAAGAAGGGCAAACTTTATAGATTTCACTAGGGTGGATTTGATTTTATAATAGCAATAAAGTTGGATCAAGTGGTGTCAGAGAGGGCAAGTTCAGGTCAATGCAGGTTAACTTGGCTTTTTTCCCTTTCTTTGGTCTGCTAGAACAGATTTCCCATAAGCTTGTTGAAAAGCTAGATCAAAATCTTAAAGCTGTTTACCAAATGGCGTAAGGCACTTTAAATCTGATACCATTTCAGGTCAGATCCAGCCCTGACCAGAGTAATAGCAACTCCTGGGTACACAGCTAAACTCCAGGCCCAGAAAGTATCCTCAGCAGGGAGTAGGTGAATGAATGCAAACAGGATAAAAGACTCTGAAGACCGTGGCAGTGGTATCATCATTCTATCACCTTCACTTTATTCTTTTTGCACAGATAGGCAGAATCCAAATGGGCATTCAACTAAATCCTGGGTTGTTTCTAAAAGGGCAGCTCTAACAAGTAGTAGATGCTATGGGGGGATAATTGTGAAAGGATTTTCAGGAGCAACATCATAGGGAAACTATAGGCTAACCCTTTTGTCACATAGTGATAAAGTAGAACAAATACAGAAAATTACAATAGCAGGAAGCATTCTGTACAGGCACAGGTGATTTCTTTTTTAAATGCTTTAAAGTGTTTTAGCAAACCACCCAGTGGCTGAGTAGAGCATTCTGTTTTCTAAAAGCTATGCAAATGAGATGCTTCCCTTAACCAGTTTAGAAGTAGCATCTTGGTATGGTGGAAAGGATGCTGACTTTGGAGTAATAAGACTTGAGTTCATATCCTGGTCCTGCTACTGCTACTTACAATCTGTGATCCCTTGTACAAGACACTGGGCCTCAGTTGTGCCATTTGTAAAATGAAGGGTTTGGACTTTGGACGTCATGTGATTTCAAAGGTCTCTTCTAACAAAAAAATTCTGGGTGCTGTAATTTCTATGTTGGGGTATTGCTTCAGGGATTTAGTCTGAAAGCTTTCTGGATCATATTTAAGTGATTGCATTTGTTTTTCAGCTCTGAGTCCCAAAAACTGTGGAGGATTCTCCAAGAAAAAGATGGCACATCAACTTCAAAATGCCTCTGGAGTAAATCTCATTGCCAAGACAATTTCTTACTTGTTCTTGGAATAGATGCTGCTCAAAAAGTAAAGTAATACACTTTTAACTAACGTGATGTCACTGACCCAACATCAGAGCTCTGCATTGTTTCTCTGAGTGGGAGGGTGGGATTATACTCAGACATCTACATAACTGCTCTAGTTATCATTGCCACTTATGGCACACCCTCGTCAGACTTCCGGTGAAGGATGAGGGGTGCAGCCTGTTGCCATGGGGCGGAGTTTCTTTGTCTATGCAAAGCTAATTGGTCTGTAGGGAATCAGAGCTGCTATTTTAGCCTCATTAGCCACCTGGTCAGAATGGCTCAAACTCAGTTGTCCTGTTTAAACATACTTAGAGGTTTTAGGTACAAGCCTTGAATTAGGAAGAAACAAAACTATTTCTCAAATAAGTTATTTTTATAAGCCTTCCTTGCTGTATACAGTATTCTCAGTATTCCTGAGAAATTGTCTATTCAATTCAATTCAGTAAACATTTATCAAGTGCCTACTACGTACTAAGGGTTTGTTGTTCAGTTGTTCAGTCACATCCAACTCTACATGGACTTTTTGTCCATGGGCTTTTTTCTTGGCAAAGATTCTGGAGCGATTTGCCATTTCTTTCTCCAGTGTGTTTTCATTTCACAGATGAGGAACTGAGGTAAATAGGGGTTAAGTTGACTTGACCAAAGTGGTACAACTAGCAAGTGTCTGAGGCAATATTTGAACTTGGTTCATGCTGACTCCAAGGCCAGCACGCTGTCCACCTTGCCACCTAGCTGCCCTCAGGTGCTGGAGATACAAATAAGAAAAAGACAGTGTCTACGAAAAAGGAAGGGGTCGAGTGGTGGAAAAACCAGGAAGTAGTTGAAACCAAGCAGAGCTGCCGATGGAGAATAGAATGAGCCAGAAGTCCAATTTCCATCCTCTTTAAAGGAAGACTTTAGGAGAAGTGTAAGACTCCACCTTTCAGCCCTCCAAGAAGAGGAAAGTGGGATGGTGTCTGAGGATCCAGGGCTGACTTGGCAGTATAATGGTGAGATTAGAAGTGATCAGTTTATCCTGAGACGGGTATTTTGTTTATATAGAATCCAATCAATCAGACATTAATTTTCACAGTCTCGGGAGTTCATTAATTAAGCCTTATGGTGGACAGTTTTGTGAGATGCAAGTCTCTTAGAGTGAAGATAACCCAGCCCTTTGCCCACCCTCTGCCAGGTTTAATATATCTAGTCTAATGGAAAGAGCCATGACCTGGAGAGTTAGGAGACTCAGTTTCTAGTTGAGGCTCTGGCATTCTCTATTTGACCATGTCTAGATCATTGAATTTGTCTGTTCCTTAGTTTTCTCATCTGTCACATAGGATAACATTATATTCAACCACCTACCCTACCTAAAACAGAGGATTACTGATACTAAAATGAAATAGTAGATTTGTGTATATTTTCATGTTTTCTTATAGAGTTGTACACTTATGTTTTTTTCTGGTACCATCTGTAAACTACCTGTTTAAAAAAAAAAAGAAAGGGAATGTAAGAATTCCTAATTGATAACAAGCATATTATGTTTTATTGAATGAGCTAGAAAAGACAAGTATAGAGAAGAGTCTATCCTTTTTGACTATGTTGTTTAACCCTGGTCAAGTTACAGCTTCTCCGAGCCTCAGTTTCTTCATCTATAAAAAGGAGGTAATAGAAGCAGCTGCTTCACAGGGTTGTTACAAGGCTCAAACTACAGTTAGTTCTGCTATAACAAGACATATGAGTTCCCAACCCAAAATGCACTGCACTATGCAAATAGCTCAATGTATGCAAAGAGTATGTATAGCTCAATATGCAAAAATGCACAATAAAAAACAGCCTATGGGGAAAAGTGGAATTAGGGGCATAATTCTCAGAAACTTTGTCAGTGACACTTTGAAAAAAAGATAAGAAGCAAACAAAAAATGGTAGCCCAGTTGTATACATGTCAAATGGCTATGAAATATATAAATACTATGATGAATGGTGGCCACAAATGCAGCCTCAAGCTGCTGCCAGGTCCACATGAGGCAGGGTAAAACTCTTGCACCCACAGCTCCCTCTGCACCAGATGATACAAAATAAATATGGCTCTTTAGTTTCACAAAGACCTAAAGTTTGCTTCTGGAAGTGGCATCAGAAAGGTTGCAGTTTGTCAGCTATTGTGAAGTGCTACAGTTTTCTACATTCTTACTTTCTTGAGGAAGAAATTGAGAAACAAGCTCGAAATTTGAGTCATGCTCAAAATGTTCCCTAATGTAAGTTGAGTCGGAATGAATTTAAGTTTTAAAAATACACACTATGGTATAATGTATGGGGTTGGTTTTTTTTTTGCAATACCTTAAAGCTCTATATAAATGTAAGCTATTATAGTTTACTACAGAATAAAATAGAGTAAATCAAAGAAAGTTAATCTTTTCCAAGGCCCACTTTTAAAATCCCACCATCCTTTTCAACTTCTTAAAGTATAATTTTGGGTCCAAAGGCACAGTTACTACCTAATGGTAGAAGTTCTTAGAATGTCGTAAAATGTGCAGATTTTCATATACAGAATTGTTATTTATCACTACTAGTTTATTTTTACCTTAACATTTTATCCATGGGTTTTTCTTCTCTGTAAAGAAGGCATAATAGCACATAGAAGGCACACAGTAAATATGCATTAAATTATTGAATATTTATGATCATTGACAAGATTAACCTTTTATTAGGAAACTCAAGAGGTGCTTCAAAAGAACAGAACAAAAATTAGTTCATTTCTCAGTGCCCCAGGACTTAGCCCAGTGCCTGGCACATAGTACTAACTTAATAAGTGATTGCTGATGAGAGTCAACATAGAATTGTAAATAAGGTAATCAACTTGGAGTCAGGAAAGACCCTAGTTCAGATCTCACCTTGAATGCTTACTGTGTGACTCTGTGCAAGTCACTTAAACTTTTTAAACCTCAGTTTACTTTTCTTTAAAATGAGATTGTTAATAACACATACCTCAGAGTTGAGGTTCAAATGTGATAATGATTATAAAGCACTTTGTGAACCTTAAAGTGTTATAAAAATTTCTACTGTATTATTAATAAAGCAGACATACAATTCAAGTTTCTGATTAGCTATTTGATGACTTTTTTTATTTTCTTAGGATCTTTCAGGAGGTAAGAATCACGTTCTGGAAGATTCTAACCTGAAAGAGACTGAAGAGTTAACAGAAGTAAATGGCTTTAATCTTAATAATTGCAAGGCACTAATTCAAACCAAGGTAAGAGTCATAGAATTATTAAACTTCAGAGTTGAAAGGGACTTTAATGGTCATCTATTCCAACTTGAAGCAAGAATTCCTCCTACATTATCTTCAACTAGTAGTAAAACTTTCAGTGCCTTGAAATTCACCATCTGACAGACCATTCCATTGAGGGGCAGCTTTGATTTTTAGGAGGGTCTTTCTTGGAGCAGTAATTTCCTCACTATGAATATTTTGTTGACACAGATCACTGTCCTTCCATGTGCTTTCATCCTGTGCAATTTTTGTCCATGTTATCTCATGTCCTTCATAAAGCCTTTTTTATGTGGCACACTGTCCTTTTATTATTTTTAGATTTTCAAGGGCAGAACCCATAACTAGAATGGGATAATCAAGGCTTTTGACCTAGGGCCTCAAAATGGAGATAGAGGTTCTTTCCCACTTACTGTTCCCAGTGCCTTGAGGTTCACTGTAGACTGTGCAGTGCCACAAGGATCCCATCCTTTTTTCCTAGAGCTTTCCTTCTTCCATGATGAACCTTTCCTACTGCCTTGCTCCCAGCCTGCTATCTTCCAGCATGCCACTACATCCTTTCTAGGGGTGCCTGTTGCAAGTACACCATAAAAGTGAACACAACCCCCTGAACCAGAATTCACCACCCAAACAGAATCTCACTTTTTCCATTGACCCCTCTTCCCAAGAATTGCCCAGAAGCACTATATCCAGTTAAGGTGTCATGTTTTCTGTGCATCCTCTGTCACCACTAAAGCAAGTTGCCTCTTCCTCCTTCCCAGGAAGAATTGGACCATGAGGTTCCACCCTTCTCCTTGGACTCATGTGCCCCTTCTCCACTCCCCCCCACCCCATGCTTTCCTCCTTACTCTCTGTCTTTTTTTGTCTCTGTCTCTCTGTCTCTCTCTATCTCTCTCTCCCTCTCTCTCCACATGACTTCATGGGCTTCTCTTCCCCTTCCACCTCATTGCAGTTCCCCCACCAGGGCAGCCTGTCCACTGCACCTTTTCCATCACCCCTAATCCACACTACTGAGTTTACTCTTGAACACTAATTCCTAGTTGTGATTCTGCTCTGAGGATATCAGTGTGCCACTTGAGCTGCCCACCTATTGTCTATTAATCCTACCATGTGATCCACCACCTTTTCTAGCCATAGGTATTCTCAATAGTGTCTTTTACACAATTATCTCACAAAGAAGCTGTTGTGGGAATTCACTGTCTCTACAGTCAGTTCATCAACTGATTAGAAAATGGCTAAAGTGAAAAGCCAAACTTGAAGAAAGGATTAAAGTGAGAAGATAATTGTGTAATTAATAATCCCATTTATGATTAGCAGCTGTAACCCAGCCTGTTTCAACAAGCCTTTGGTTTGGTAAATGGACAAAAGTAAAGATTTTGTCATTTCTTCTCAAGGAAGTTTAACCAATGCAAAATAGTCACCACCATGAGGAGACCAAATGAACCTCACAATACCTTAGGCAGCAAATAGTTAATCTTCTTGCCACGCAGAGACACTTGGTGGCCAAGGGCAATACTAGTTTCTTCCCTGAGCTGATAAGTCTTCTATTATAACTTCTTACTCATTAGTCCTGGAGGGGCGGGGCACAAGGAACAAACTATCTCCCTCTCCCATGATAATGTGTGGTGAGTATAAGGATCTGACCCTCAATTTTAAACCTCATTGATCCTCAGTTAGTTTCCTAGGGTACCAGATCCTCTTGGAACCAATACAGGGGACCTTGCCGTTTCTCAAGGCTTTCACCACTCGTTCCTTACTAACCCTTCCCTGGATATTGAGCTCAACCTGAGGCACCAAGATCACAGATCTGTCTCCCCTGAATAAGTTACTTGCCCTCCCCCCAGACCCTTCCGCCACTACCACTATGTTCAGGTTTCCTGGCACTCAGCTCTCCTGTATCTATACTAAACCGTAACAGTGCATTTTAAAGGAGAGAGATAATAGCGCATCAGAGTAAGGTAATTAGAAGTATGTTCATTTTCCCAAACCAGAATTCATAGAATTATGGAAGTAGAAAGGAATGACGTTATCTAGGGCCGAACTATCCAAGACAGGTGACTATGATTTTCCCACTTAAAGGCATTAATAGGCACAACAAATGCACTGTTCCATTGTCCGATCAACTGAATATTAAAGGTCCTTCCATACAATTAAAAAAGAAAATATCTAATCCTAGATTGAATGGCATAATTTTTCAGAATTAATATTTAATTAGAGTTCCCCAGGCCTATCGTCATGCTGGGTGCCATAATGTCTACTGCCCCAAACAAGAATAAATTTGCATCTCATACCCTCTGCGTAGAGCTTATTGGTTCTAATTTCTGAACTTCTGATCTCAGTTTTATCTAAGACAATCAAAGAAGCCTTGCTTAAGCAAGGGTAGAGGAACTTGTATCAATATAATTATGTTACTAAACTATATAAACTACAAATACTTAAATAACTTCTACTTCTCCACTGCTCCCCCCCCACCCCCCACCCACCCAGGAAAAAGCCAAAGAAATTTTTTTTAAAGTGCAAGGTTCTTGTTACCTTGAAAAGATCAAAATCATTCAGCCTGACTCAATCATCCCCAGAATCAAAGAAGACATCCCAAGGAAATGTATATAATTTATTCCATATTTATACAATACCTGTTTATTTAGTGTTTGAGTGCTTTACAGTATTTTTCTTCGAGTCATTGTGAAGCTCTGAGAGATAGTGCATTGTAGTCTCAAAGCTAAAGAAAATATAAAACAGACCTTTGGCACAGCTTAGGCAAATCCTTATGACTTTATAATTATCACACCAAGGTCTAGTTCATTACACATCCCTTTCCATAAAACTTCTAAATATTTCCCTGAAATTGGCAAGATTTAACTAGGTAACAGTAATACTAATAATAATAACTCACACCCTAAGGTTTATAAGCACTTTCCCCACAACAACCCTATAAGGCAGCTAGTAGTCTTGGGAGCAGTGTTAACCCCACTTTACAGATGAGGAAACAAAAGAGACCCAGAAACAAAGTGGCTTGCCCAAAGTCACGTGACTAATAAATTTTGGAACTGGTATTTCAACCCATATATCCAGATTCCAAGCCTTTTTCCACTATACCAAATTCTTTAGCACTCAAAGGAACCCCAAGTATAGAATCAGGTGCCCTGGTTTCAAATCCCACTTTGTGACTGTGGACGAGCTAGTTACCTTCTCAAGGCTTTCTTTTCTTGATCTACAAAATGACAGTGATACATTCTCTGATGGTACTTTCCAAGTCTAATTCCTGTGATACTGATGCTTTATTTGCTCCATTTTGCCCTTTTGTCTGTGTTTCATGGAAGAGTGAACCCTGAGCATTTACACCCCACTACACACCGTAAGTTTTTGCAATTCTATTCATGGCAACAGTCTGCATTGCTTGGCTACAAAAATGTAATTAAAAGAATCTGCTTTCCTTTTAGCTTTAAATTGGCTGCACCCTATTGACTAGGAATGAGCCTTTACTGATTACTTATAGGTGTAGGTGATGTTATATATTCTGTTTATGCTAGCCGGATTGCCAGTGACCACCAAAGCCCCCTATGCCCTTTTTCTACCTGCTAAGCTCGTGACTCCAATCTTCTATACATTACTTTTCCTCTCATGGTAGCATGGCCTTGAAGTCCACCTGAATTGCCTAATCGTCGCTTCTTTATGCTCTGCCAGACTTAGCTCAACTTCCTCCCTCATATAACTGTTACTTCTCACTAATGCCGACCCCTTCCCTAAACCCTGTATATCAGTAACAGCAAAGACAGACTGAGCTTACTAGTGTGCTATAAGGGAAGCCTATAAACCCCTTCTTTCTGTCACTGAAGGGTAGAAGTAAGAGCAGTGGAGGAGTAGGGAAGAAGGAAAGATTTTGCCTCAGTATAAAGACAAATGTCCTAACAGCCGTCTGATAGTATGGTTGGCCAACTCTTGAAATAGTGAGTTTGCTGTCACCAAAAATATTCGGGAATAAAATGGATGACCATTTGTGAGAATCTTGCATTTGACAGGAGATCTGTACTGTCTCATCTCTTATACTACCTGAAGCAGGTGCTATTCCAAACCTTCTCTTATTTCTTCAACTCCTGCACCTCCTCCCCACCTCAACACCTACCACAAATACACACTATAACCTCTTTCTCCTCTGAGAAAGAAGGTTTGAGCAAAAGACTTGACCTCCTACTTTACTGAGAAAATAAAGACAATCTTCTATGAATACTCCCTACTCTCCTCCTGTCCTTTAGTCTTTTAAGAAAGAGGTGGTACTTCTTGCCAAAGCCAACCTCACTACTTATGCCCTTGATTCTATTTCTCCAGGAACTTATACTTTTTGATCATTCCCTTTTTCTCTCTCATCTTCAGTCATTCTTGATATTAGGGTTTATATGCCTGCTCCTCATAAACATGTCTAGGGCTCCACAAACCCTTTTTAAAAAAAAAAAACAATCAGGGGGCAGCTAGGTGGCCCAGTGGAAAGAGCCTGGCCTCAGACACATAATACTTCCTAGCTGTGTGATTCTAGGCAAGTCACTTAACCCCAATTGCCTAACTAAAAAAAAAACAACCTTTCATTAAATCCTGCCATCCCCTTCAAACTGCCATCCTCTATCTCTTTTCCCTTTCACAGGCAAATTTCCTTTTAAAAGAAAGTCTTTGTAACCTTCACTTGCTTACCTTCCACTCACTCAACACATCCAGACTTCTGACCCAGTCACTTGAGTAAATTGGCTCTCTCCAAGGTTATCAACAACAATCTATTAACTTTTAGAAACAATGGCCTTTTCTAACTCCTTATCTTACCTGGCCTCTCTTCAGCTTTTGACACTGAGATTTTTCCCTTCCACTTGGTTAATTTATCCTCCCTTTGCTTCAGTGGTGCTGCCTTCTCACCACCCTTCCTCCTTTGTTGGATCATCATTTCATCCCCTCAACAGAGGTGTTCCCAGGTTATATTCTAGGTCCTCTTTCTTTCTTCTTGATGATTTCATCTAATCCCATGGTTTCATTTGTCATCTTAAACAGATGACTCTCAAATCTAAACCACCCACCTTTATGTATTCTAATTGTCAACCACATGCGAGACAGTTGGTAACTGGATGTCTCATTGTCACCTCGGAGTCGCCATGTCCAAACAGAACACTCACACCCTTCCTGCAAGCTTCCATGTTTCTGTCAAAGACACCAACCCAGGTTCATAATCTCAGTCATCCTCTTCACTCTTTCCTCTTCCCCACACTTCCAAAGCTAATCACTTGCCTTGTTAATTCTTGCAAATTCTACATTTCTCACAACCGTCCCTTTCTTCTCACCTACACAATCAGTACCCTAGTTTGAGTTCTTATTGCCTCCGACTATTTTAGTTGCCTTCTCACTGTGTTTTCTTCTTCCAGTCCCTCCCCTCTACAATCCTTCCTCCATATAGCTGACAAAATAATTGTTAGTAAGGCACCAATCTGGCCAGGTTAGTCACCTGCCTGTAGGATAAAGTACGTACTCCTACCTAGTATTTAAAGTGTTCCAAAATCTTAACTCTGACCTTATCTCACGTCTCTCCTCTTCACACACGCTGTTCCAGCCAAACTATCCTATGAACTGTTGCCTAAATTCAGTATTCTCTCTCCTGTATCTTGGCCTTGAGATAGACTGCTGCCCATGCCTGAAATGCATGGCATCTGATTCAGAAGCAGATAAGTTACTTGGCATGGCAGAATAATAAAAACCAGTCACAAGTTCCATATGGGTCACTGTGTCCTGATTTTTCCGTACTTTCATGAAGTAAGATTCTCAGCCCTTTGGCTTTCTGGCTGGCAGATTTTATTGCAGCTACCTGTGGAGATCTTCCTCCAGAGTTGTTAACTCTCCTCTCCTTAACATCTTGACAGGCCCACCCACCTTCTTTGCCTTTGACTTAACAAATTCCCTTTCCATCTCCTCTCTTCCTGTCCTTGAGTCTTTGCCCTCCTTTTCCTATAGTTCCAGTTCTCCTCCAGTTTAAGTCATTCTTTTTTTCATCTTTATTCAGCTAGAGCCCTTCAACTCAGATTATTTTTATTCTTTTCCATTCCTCTCAAATTTAAGTCTCCGGAATTCTTCATTATTCTTTCTGTTCCTTCTTCAGCTGGAGTCTTTCTCTTTCCCTTCACTTAACCCCTAAGCTAGATGAATTTTAATGATGAATCAAAAGTGAATTAAGTGACTTTAAAGGTCAAGACTGGCAGTGGCAGTGCCATTCACGATGAGTGAAATTTCGTCGGGTGGCAAAGAGTGGCTCACCTTGAAAAGCCCCAGAAGAAAGTAGAGACCTTAACAAAGTTCTTTCCAGCTCAAATAATAGACTGGTAAAATATATCCATTTTCTACTGTGTACTTCTGCCTTCCACAGCCTCAGCCTAGCAGTGATTAGTGGCATCAAGGCCTGGAGTCCAGGTGGGAAGAGTAGGATATAGGGGAAGAAAGGGCTCAATCTTTTAATTTGTAGGTTTTTAAGAAAATAAAGACTTTTGGTCAATTATGTTGGCTACTGTTTATAAAATATTGCCTCAAAAAAAGGTCATCTGGTCCAACTTCTCCCCTTTCTTCATTTTCCCCCACCCCCATCAGTTTTCAAAAGGGAAATCTATTTCCAAAGGAGAATAGGAGTCTAGCATTATCAGAAAAAAAGCTGACTCAGGCCTCAGTAGACATGGCCCTGCATGATGTTAACCTGAAAGATGTTGATCAGCACTGTAATTTTGAATCCTTGTGTCTAACTTCCTTTATTTTGCTCTGAAATTCACTACCTTTCCTTTCCTCCATTTTTAGCTCTCTGGATCCTCAGCTCCCCGACACAGCAGCCTGTTTATGTACAACTTGTTTTTGAAGAAGACTCCTTCCAGTGGAAATATGCAATACATAACAATTCCAAGAAAGAAAAAACTTTTTACTGCCCGGAATCTAAAAATGAAATTTTTTAATAGTGATGTTTGCTAAAGAAAAATACTTTTTATCTTTGAGGAAAATCTTACATTTTGCTACTGATTTGGTACTGGAAACTGGAAATCATAGACATCTTTGAGGTGATAAACTAGAAATTCTCAGCTGTATTTTCCTATGGTTACCAGTTTGCAAATGAATTAGTCATGGGTAAAAATCAAGACTTTTCTTTGACAAGCTTGCTCTCCATTTTTAAATATACTATTTTCTGGCCACCCCCCAATTTGCCACTAGCAAATGAAACTTCTTCTACAAACTTGCTTTAGTTTTCTAGTCAACAAATAAACACCCAGGCAAAGCCTTGAAAAGGAATGCACTGCCAATTTAAAGCTTAGGGACGCCATATATTTCTTTATCAAAGTTACCAGCCCCCCTGCTCTCAGGTAGCTATTGGAGATGCAGGCTTTGGTAGCCTGCTTCTAGGGCTCATTCCATGGTAGCCACATGACATTAAAGATCACAGACGGCTGAAGGAAAAAACCAGCTCTTCGATGGCTCCCCAATGTCTTGACTCATTTGTTGACCTTTTGTTGATGACTAGTAGAAATGAACATTCTTAGGAAAAGTTCCAGTTGTGACTAGATGTCCCAAAATGTGAATATTTTTCAGTGTCAGCCTGTTCTGCATAGTTCTTTTCTTTATTTTCAGGTGACATACTGTGGCTAAGCCAGGATAATGTCCCTGTGGAGATGTCTGCTTAAATGCTATAATGCTTGTTTGGAATATGTTAAAATATTGTACATAGTAGGTTTAAAATATGTTCTAACTAAAAGATGAGGGAAAACCTAAAGGTATCTCCCCAAAGTATCTTAATCATAACATAAACTGTTTTTCCCTATTTGTTTTTAAGGGTCTTTCTGGAGACACCTCGATTTTCTGTTTAGACATAAAACTCAGTGCTGCGTGTTGTGCACTAAACCTGGGATAACTTGACATTTTCCTGTGTAACTACTGACCTTGACAAAGCAGCACTCATGGGCAACGGTTTTATTCCATTTTACACTTTGTTTATGGAACATCCAAATGAAAACTTTCTCCATGTCTCCACTGAAGAATCATCCCTGTTAAAAGTGGCAAGAGCCAACAAATTCACACTGACTTTTGTAACATTTTATCAAATAAAGTTCCCTGAATAAACTTTCTCGACTGTCTTTTTATTTCCTTTCAATTCCTTTTTTTCCTTATGTAATAATAAGGTGAAGTGTGCAATAAGGAAAAAACTTCTATCTGCTCTGTTTGAATTCTGTTTTTAAGGCAACTGGGTCATGGGTGGGGTTGGAGGAGTAATAAGATTTGAGAGGATTGGTTTGGGAAATAAATATTTCAATGGACTTGAAGTCAGAAAGTATCCCACAGCCCCTGCCTATTAGATTACTACTTTAAAAATTAAAAGTAGACTATAGAGATCATATTTAGTCCATTAGCTGTGACATTTGGCAAGTTACTTCCTGACTTAGGGCCTCTTTACCCATCTATAAAATGGGGGTAATCATAGATGTAGAGCTGAAAGGAATCTTTAGAGGCCATCTGATCTAATATCCTCATTTTACAGGTGAGGAAACTGAGGCCCAGGGAGGTCAAGTGACTTACCCAAGGTTACACAGGTACAACCAGCTTCAATTATGTTCATGGTGGTCATTTTGCAAATTCCCATCAGGGTATTGTGTTTTTAATTTATTTTTAGTTTTAAACATTCACTTCCACAAGATTTTGAGTTCCAGATTTTCTCCCCATCTCATCCCTCCCCCCACCCCAAAATGGTATGCATTCTGAACACCCCTTCCCTAATCTTGCCTCCCTTCTCTCTCTCCCCTCCTCTTATCCCCTTCCCCTTCTATTCTCCTATAGGGAAGGATAGATTTCTATACCACATTGCCTGTATATCGTATTTCCCAGTTGCATGTAAAAAAAATTTTTAACATTTGTTTTTAAAACTTTGGGTTCCAAATTCTCTCCCTTCCTCCCTCCCCACCCACCTTCACTGAGAAGGCAAGCAACTTGATACAGGTTATGCATGTGTAGTCATGCAAAACAATTCATAATAGTCATGTCATGAAAAACTATATTTCTCTTCATCCTATCCTACCCCCCATTTATTCTCTCCTTTGACCCTGTCCCTCTTCAAAAGTGTTTGCTTCTGATCCTCTCCTCCAATCTGCACTCCCTTCTATCATTTCCCCCACCCATTATCCCCTTTCCCCCTATTTTCCAGTAGGGTAAGATAGACTTCCATACCCAATTAAGTGTGTATGCCATTTCCTCCTTAAGCCAATTCTAATGAGAGTAAGATTCACTCATTCCCTTTCACCACTTTTCCTCCACAGTAAAAGCTTTTCCTTGTCTGTTTCATGTGAGATAATTTATCCCATTCTACTCTCCCTTTCTCTTCCTAATATAATCCTCTCTCACCCCTCTATTTTTTAGGTATCACCCCTTCATCTGCAATTCACCCTGTGCCCTTTATCTATATAAATATATTTCCCCTCTCCAACTACTGTAATACTGAGAGAGGTCTCATGAGTTACAAATATTATCTTTCCATGCAGGAATGTAAACAGTTCAACTTTAATAAGTCTCTTACGATTTCTCTTTCCTGTTTACCTTTTCATGCTTCTCTCTCTTTTTTTTTTTTTTTTTGCTTTTTGGTGAGGCAATCCGGGTTAAGTGACTTGCTCAAGGTCACACAGCTAATAAGTGTTAAGTGTCTGAGGCCGGATTTGAACTCAGGTCCTCCTGACTCCAAGGCCAGAGCTCTATCCACTGTGCCACCTACCTGCCCCAAGTCTATTTTTTAAGGTGTTATTTTCTTCAATATTTTTTTGGGTCTCCTTTAGCAAGCTGTTGACTTGTTTTTCATGATTTTCTTGCATCACTCTCATTTCTCTTCCCAGTTTTATCTCTACTTCTCTTATTTGGTTTTCAAAATCCTTTTTGAGCTCTTCCATGGCCTGGGACTGATTCATATTTTTCTTGGAGGCTTTAGATATAGGAGCTTTGATTTTGTTGTCTCCTCCTGGTTGTATGTTTTGATCTTCTCTGTCACCAAAGTATGATTCTATGGTCTGACTTTTTTTTTTGCACTGTTTGCTCATATTCCCAGCCAATTACTTGACTTCTAAATTCTTTGTTAAGGTAGGAGCCTTCTTCCAATGTGAAGAACTGTCCTAAGATTCGGGGGTTTTGTGCAGCTATTTTCAGAGATACTTCTAGGGACCTGTAAATTTTCATTCTTCCAAGGTGGTATGATCAAGGGTGAGGCATTTACTCCTTTCCTGGCCTGTGCTCTGGTCTATGAGTGACCACAAGCACTCTTTTCTGTCTTGGAACTGTGAGGAGGATTCTTTCACAAGCTCTGCTATGCTCCTTGCCCTAGAACTGCCACCCAGAACAGCAACCCAGATCCAAGCACAGGCAAAGCAAGAGAATCCTGCCTCAGCACCAGCAAAGAGATCCCTGCAATGCCCCTCGGATCAGCCATTCAATCCCCATACTGGTTGTGGGCCAAGAGCTCTGGAAGCAGCCACCACCCCGGGTCTGCGCCAGGACTGGGGCCAGACCACACTCCTCTCTTACTGAGGTCTGACAGACCTTTCCTACTGACCTTCTAAGCTGTCTTTGGCATTTGTGGGTTGAGAAGTCTGGAAACTGCCACAGCTGCCCATGATTCAGTCTCTGAGGCCTGCTCCAGGTTTGCTCTGGCCCTGTCTTTGCCTGTGTGGCCCATGCTAAACTGTGCTCCTCTCCCAGTCTGGAGCAACAGACCTTTCCCATCAACCATTCAAGTTGTCTTGGGCTGGAAATATGTTTTGCTCAGTCTTTCTGTGGGTTCTGCTGCTCTACAATTTGTTTAGAGCCATTTTTACAGGCATTTGGAGAGGTTTGGGGGAGAGCTCAAGCAAGTCACTGCTTTTACTCCACCCCCCATCACGAGTTTTGTGATAAAAGACAACAAAGCGTCCCATGAAATGATGCTTCTTGCTGCCTTTGCATCGCATGATGAAATCTGTTTCACCAGCTCCTCAATTTGCCTCACCAACGGAGAAATTATAAGCCATCCTTCCAATTAGATTCAACTTCCTTTTGTCATCAGATTTCTTTTATAGTAAGAATTTCAGTATTAATATAATTTAATTTCTCCAGCAGTACGTCAACTCATTGGTCATTAGACCAATCTTATATTTACCATCTCTCATTTAAGATGCCAACATATAACTGACATTCGCCTGGTGCTTTAGGGTTTGCCTACATGTGTTATCTTATTTGAATCTCAAAAAATACCTTATAAGCAAAGTACAAGTATTAATAGCCCTGTTTAACAGATAAAGAAATAGGCCCAGAGGGGCAAAGTAATCACAGTCATAAGATAATGTCAAAGTTAGAATTCAAACCCATTTCTCTCCTGACTCCAAGCTCAGACTTCCTGACTCCATGCCTTTCTGTCTATTTTGTCGTTAGGTCATTTTCGGTCGTGTCTGGCTCTTCCTTCGTAACCCCATTTGGGGTTTTCTTGGCAGAGATACTGGACTGGTTTGCCATTTCCTTCTCCTGCTCATCTTACAGATAAGGAAACTGAGGCAAACAGGGTTAAGTGACTTGCCTAGGGTCACACAGCTAGTGTCTAAGGCAGATTTTAACTCAGGAAGATAAGTCTTCCTGACGCCAAGCTCAGTGCTGTAGCTGCTTCAATGCCTAGCTGTCCTTACCTCTGTCTATAGATAGTCGAAAAACTTTCTTAGAACCTTCTTCCCCCTTTTATACCACTTCATAAGCTCCTGGAGAACAGAAGCCGTCTTTAAATTTTTTTATATCCCAAGTGCTTAACACAGTACCTGACACATAGTAGGGGTTTTAATAAATTTATTGACTAACTGACTTTGCCACTATTATTATAGAACTGGAAAGGAGCTGTACAGGACTAATGGCCATTTGTTTCATGGGTTGCCACGTGTGACAGTCCAAAAACAGTTAGAACCCATGTGCTTCTAAGACCCATAGGGTTCACCTGCAGCAAGCTGCCTCTGCTATAGACATGTTTTTGCCATACACACCCCACTCAAGTCTTCTGACTGTTTCAGTAATCTTGCTCAGTCATTTTAGTCATGTCCAACTCTTTATGACCCCATTTGGGATTTTCTTGGCAAATATACTGGAGTAGTTTGCCATTTCCTTCTCCAGCTCATTTTACAGATGAGGAAACTGAGGCAAACAGGGTTAAGTGACTTTCTCAGAGTTACACAACTAGTAAGTGTCTGAGGCCAGATTTGAACTCAAATCTTCCTGACTCCAGGTCCAATTCTCTATCCACTGTGCCACCTAGCTACCCCTAGAGTAGGTAGAAGAGCTTAAAATAAATCAAAACTAGTAGAGCAATGAGGAGAGTTCACCCCTAAGCCAAGTCCTAAATGGTGTGGGTAACATTCACTTTGTGTTCAGGTTTCTAGAAAACAGGTCACAAAGTTCACCCGAGTTCACA